TATAATATCTGGATTTACCACGTACTTAGTTATAATCATATATACTTTTTATTATTATTCACAAAACCACACAAGTGTTTTTTAATTATGAATATAAAATTGTGAGGTTATAAACACACACCAATCACGAATCCGAAGATGACCGAAAAACGTAAATATAGATGAGACACTATATGCCATCTATATAATCGAAACAAAAGCATAGATAAAAGATGGGAACAAAATTTTAAAACGTTATTTTTAAATTCAAATATATACTTATTATATTTATTATTTGATTTTTATAGTTATTTATGTTACTTATATGTATTAATAACTTCTATTGATTAATATTTTAACTGTTTATTGATACTGAGTACTTTTATTAAACATTTTATTTTTTTTTTGCAAAAAGTGTACAATACATAGGTACAAAATCACAAAATTCCGATTCAAATTTAAGTAATACTAGTACTAGTGGACCTTAGATAATTTTAAAATGTCCTAGATACAATCAGAAAATGTTTTAGATTGTGTAATTTTTTTAGATAATCTAAAAATGTTCTAGATAGTGTGAAAATGCTCTACGAACTAGTTGCATATTGTCTAAAATATTGCAAATAGCCTGAAAATATTGTAGATAGTCTGAAAAAATTGCAGTTCGTTTGAAAATGTTGTACATCGTCTAATAATGTTATCTAAAATATAAATATAAAATCAACTTTTGGAACAAAATCATGACGAAAAATAACGTCAAACTTTGAAATCGTATCGTATAACTTTGCAAATTTTGTTAAAACATATAACTTTTGTTTGAAATAAATAAAAAGCTTATGAATCTCTCTATACATCTGCATTTACCAGTTTTCAACTTTTGGAACAAAAACATGACGAAAAAAATAGTCAAACTTTAAAATCGTATCGTATAACTTTGTAAAATAATTGTTTGCGCGTTTTTCGACTGCAAATGTGCCAAATTCTGTTAAAACACATAACTTTTGTTTAATATAAATAAAAAGCTTATAAAATTCTCTATACATCTGCATTTACCAATTTTCAACTTTTGGAACAAAATCATGACGAAAAAAATCGTCAAACTTTAAAATCGTATCGTATAACTTTGCAAATAAATTGTTTGCGCGTTTTTCGACTGCAAATGTGCAAAATTTTGTTAAAACACATAACTTTTGTTAAATATAAATAGAAAGCTTATAAAATTCTCTATACATCCGCATTTACAAAATCAACTTTTGGAACAAAAACATGACGAAAAAAATCGTCAAACTTTAAAATCGTATCGTATAACTTTGCAAATAAATTGTTTGCGCGTTTTTCGACTGCAATTGTGCAAAATTTTATTAAAACACATTACTTTTGTTAAATATAAATAAAAAACTTATAAAATTCTCTACACAACCGCATTTACCAAATATTAACTTTGGGAACAAAATCATGACGAAAAAAATCGTCAAACTTTAAAATCGCATCATTAAACTTTGCGAACAAATTGTTTGCGCGTTTTTCGACTGCAAGTGTGCAAAATTTTGTTAAAACACATAACTTTTGTTTAATAAAAATAGAAAGCCTATACAATTTTCTAAACAACAGCATTTACCAAAAATCAACTTTTGGAACAAAAACATGACGAAAAAAATCGACAAACTTTAAAATCGTATCGTATAACTTTGCAAATAAATTGTTTGCGCGTTTTTCGACTGCAAATGTGCAAAATTTTGTTAAAACACATAATTTTTGTTTAACATACATAAAAAGCTTATAAAATTTTCTTTACAACCGCATTTACCAAAAATCAACTTTTGGAACAAAATCATGACGAAAAAATCGTCAAACTTTAAAATCGTATCGTATAACTTTGCGAATAAATTGTTTGCGCGTTTTTCGACTGCAAGTGTGCAAAATTTTGTTAAAACACATAACTTTTGTATATCATAAATAAAAAGCTTATAAAATTCTCTTTACAACCGCATTTACCAAAAATCAACTTTTGAAACAAAATCATGACGAAAAAAATCGTCAAACTTTAAAATCGCATCTTAAACTTTGCGAACAAATTGTTTGCGCGTTTTTCGACTGCAAGTGTGCAAATTTTGTAAAACACATAACTTTTGTTTAATAAAAATAAAAGCCTATACAATTTTCTAACAACAGCATTTACCAAAAATCAACTTTTGGAACAAAAACATGACGAAAAAATCGACAAACTTTAAAATCGTATCGTATAACTTTGCAAATAAATTGTTGCGCGTTTTTCGATTGCAATTGTGGCAAAATTTTGTTAAAACACATAATTTTGTTAACATAAATAAAAAGCTTATAAAATTTTCTTTACAACGCATTTACCAACAATCAACTTTTGGAACAAAATCATGACGAAAAAATCGTCAAACTTTAAAATCGTATCGTATAACTTTGCGAATAATGTTTGCGCGTTTTTCGACTGCAAGTGTGCAAATTTTGTTAAAACACATAACTTTTGTATATCATAAATAAAAAGCTTATAAAATTCTCTTTACAACCGCATTTACCAAAAATCAACTTTTGAAACAAAATCATGACGAAAAATATCGTCAAATTTTAAAATCGTATCGTATAACTTTGCAAGTAAATTGTTTGCGCGTTTTTCGACTGCAATTGTGCTAAAATTTATTAAAACACATAACTTTCAATATAAATAATTCAATATAAATAAAAAGTTTATAAAATTCTCTATACAACCGCATTTACCAAAAATTAACTTTTGGAACAAAAACATGACGAAAAAAATCGTCAAAGTATAAAATCGTATCGTATAACTTTGCAAATAAATTGTTTGCGCGTTTTTCGATTGTGCAAAATTTTGTTCAAACACATAACTTTTGTTCAATATAAATAAAAAAACTTATAAAATTCTTTATACAACCGCATTTACCAAAAATTAACTTTTGGAACAAAATCATGACGAAGAAAATCGCCAAACTATAAAATCGTATAACTCAGTAAACAAATGGTAAATAATAAAATATTTAAAAACTAAACAAATGAATACATCTTCAAGATTAATATTTACATTATTAGACAATTAAATAAATGAAAAAATCGGTAAAATTTACAGGAAGTATAGGATAAATTTTATATACAAAAATAAAATATCATTATTCTTGTAGTTCTTTTTATTTGATTAAATATAAGTCATAATAGGCTAAAGTAATTATAAAAGGGCAACTCTATATACAGGTTCAAAGAATATTAAGAATAGTTTTCGTATATTCACTAATAAAACCAGTATAATTTCTATATTTACATCTAAATTAATATAGAATTTATTAAATAAATATCAAAATATCACATCACATGACATAAGATCAGAGGTACTGTACAGCAGTAAACAATAATAAAAATATATTTTTATTATTAAAAAACCATTAAATAGTATTATAGTTATAAAATTTGGCAACTGAAGAATTTCCCTCTTGGGAAAAACTATGATGAAGTCGAATATTTAGGTTTATATTTATTCTACTATACTATTTATTTCATATAATTTCTATCTTGTTGTCCGTCAGTACAGCACCTACTTGTTAAATTTGACTTGTTAACTCTTACATATGATAATTATCGTTTTTTATTATTGTGACCAATACAGAGACATATAAATAAAAATCAATTAAAAGCAAATGAATAAAATATAACCTTTGGAATGTATCTAACTATCTCGTGATGCATCATATGAGATTGAATCAACATTCTTGATTTCCAAGCAAAAGAACACTTTTACCAATGCAGCTCGAACCAGCGATTTTAAAGCAGGATTATGGGAAACATAATTTTATAAAAATACTGAAATTTTAATTTTAAACTAAGCCATAAATAATGAATGATGTACAGCAGTGTCATACATCAACTGAGTCACGGGTGTCACGAACTATACTATGTCGAGTTACAGATCTTTTTGCTGGTTGTTGTAATGCTTCAGCCAGAGTCTCCTGAAAAAATATATATAAATTATAATAATAACATGATAAAGCTATCTAATTATTTTTGCTTTTACTATTATTCCAATCGTTCATAAATTGTTACAATTTAACCACTTTCCGTAGGCCTATAATATTTTAGGATGTTGATGTAGACTAATTAAATTTCATTAAAACTGCAAATATTTTCACATCGGTCATTTAAATAGAGACGGAAGGTGTTTTGTTAAGACTGAAAATATTTTACATAGTCTGAAAACGTTCTAGATAATCTGAAATTGTTCTGGATAAGTTGTCTGAAAATATTACAAATCATCTGAAAATGACTTTAAAAGTTTAAAAATGACCTAGATAGTCTGAAAATTCTCTAGATAGTTTGAAAATTTTCTAGAAAGTCTGAAGATGTTCTAGATAGTTTGAAAATGTTCTAGATAATCTGAAATTATGAAACATTTCTAGATAAATCGTCTAAAGATATTACAAATCATCTAAAAATGACTTTGAAAGTTTAAAAAATGTCCTACGTAGTCTGAAAATTCTCTAGATAAAATGAAAATTTTCTAGAAAGTCTGAAAATGTTCTAGAGAGTCTTAAAATGATCTCAAATAGTCTCAAAATGACCCTAAAAATGTTTAAAATCTTATACATATATTCTGAAAATGTTCTAGATTGCCAAAAAATATTATGAAAATGTTCTAGATACACTTTAAAAATATTGCAAATTATCTAAAAATGTTGCAAATGGTCTAAAAACATCTAAAAAAAGTTGCATATTAGGTAAAAAGTGTTGCAGATGGTCTGAAAGTTGCATATTGTCTTAAAATGTAGCAGATCGTCTGAAAGTGTTGCATGTGGCCTAAAAATGTTGCAAATTGTCTATAAGTGTTGCAAATCGTCTAAAAAAGTTGCAGATAGTCTGAAGATATTGCAATTTGTCTGAAATTTTGCAAATTCTCTGAATGTGTTGCCAAGCATCTGATAGTTGCCCGAAAATATCTCAAAATGTTGCAAATCGTCTAAAAATATTGTTGAAAAATCATTGTTGATGGTCTAAAATTGTTGCAAAATATTTTAAATCATCTTGAAGTATTGCAAATCATCTGACAGTGTTAAAACTTGTCCGAAAACATCTATAAAATTTTGCAAATCCAAAAATATTGTTGAAAAATCGTTTCAGATCGTCTAAAAATGTTGCAAAATATTGTAAATCGTTTGGAAGTGTTGCAAATTTTCGGAAAGTGTTGCAAATCGTCTGAAAATATTGCAAATCGTCTGAAAATATAGCAAATCATTTAAAAATTTTGCACGTCCTCTAAAAATATTTCAGGCCGTCTAAAAATGTTGCAGATCGTCTGAAAGTGTTGAAAATTGTCCAAAAATGCAGAAAATTATCTAAACATAAAAAAATGTTGCAATTCGTCTGAAAGTGTTAAAAATTGTCCAAAAATGTTGCAAAATATCTCAAAATGTTGCAGATCGTCTAAAAATATTATTGAACTCCTAAAATCGTTGCAGATCGTCAAAAAATGTTGTATAACAGCCAAAATTGTTGCAGATCATCTGAAAGTGTTGCAAGTTATTGTAAATAGTCTGAATATTTTGCAAATCGTCCAAAATCATTGCAGATAGTCTAAAAAGGTTTCAGATCGTCTGAGAGCCTTGCAAATTATTGCAAATTGTTCGAATATGTTGCATGTTGTCTGAAAATGTTGCAAATAGTCTAAAAATATTGCAAATTGTCTCAAAATATTGTAAGTCGTCTAAAAATGTTGCAAATTATCTAAAAATGTTGAAAATTGTCCAAAAATGTTGCGAACAATAAAAAAATGTGATATATTAACAAAAAAATGTAGCAAATCGCCTAGAAAATTATGCATTTCGTTCTTAAAAAACTGAAGACGATGTATCAAATTTTGCCTCACATGCACACACACACTTTTACTAATTTTAACGCAAAATGATTCAGAGTGACTTAAAACATCGATAAAATATGAAATTAGCAAATGGAATAATCTGGCTAAAACAAAACTACTCCTTTGAAAAATTAATTAAGCTTTTTTTAAAAAAAAAGAGAAATATATAAACTGCAATAATTCTTGGAGTGAAAATTATTATTATAAATGTTAATAATAAATAAATAATATTAATAAAATAATAAATTAATGTTAATAAAAAATAAAATAAAAATGATAACAAACCTCAAACCTGGATGTAATCAATTTGCTTTTAGAAATTGATTTACGTGGTATGTTGTCTAAAGACTTTGGAGGCAAATCTAAACAAAAATCGAAAAAAATAATAAATAAAATATAAATAGAAATAAGAAATAGCTGTAAACACGTATAAAACAATTAGCCGAGTCAATAAAGGATAGAGGACAAGCAACATTAGAAATTCCGATTTTACTAATTTTACTTTTTTAATATTATGCAAAATCAAAGATATTCAATTTTTATCAGATTAATTTTGATGAAAAATGGTACTTATAAAATCAATTTTTTGACCAACAGAAAATATATATAATGTAAATAATTAATTGTTAATAACAACTGTACTTATAATGACTAATAACGCGGAAATTTATACACGATTTTTTTTAAACATTAAGAATAAACATACATATTTTTTAAACATTAAGAATTATCATTTATCTCTCTTAAAGGAAGAATAAAATTATTTTCCTCTTCTGAATAATATTAAAAAACAATTTTTCAGAAAAAAATAATACAAAATCAAAGCTGTTTCTGAGGATTTTCTGCGAAAAACTGTTATTAACTCGGCTAAATAATAAAATGAAAATTTAAGTACCTCTAGGGTTTTCTATACGGTTCAAACCTGCAGCTAATTCTTTCACACTTCGTCGTTCTAAAGCAGCACCTATAAAATAACAAAAAATAAAAAAAATCAGCACATGATGACATTTTTATTATAAAATAAATTTTTTTATTACATACCAGGCGTAATTCCAACAATACTTCCTCCAACCAGACTTGTCCCAATCGTACCAGGACTAATACCCAGTATACTACCACCGGTTGCTGTACCGACCATATTTTTGTTGATACCAGTCAATTCTATAAAAATGACACAACACTTTAACAGACACACCAGGAAAAAAGCATTTCGAATGTTTGTATGAAATAATGTGTTTCTTATTACTGTGGCTTTTTATATTTTACCATTATCCATGCCGTCCATGAGCAGTGAGTCGTTATTATGAGATGACGGTGATAGTTGTTCATCGTAGAATTGGAAGTCAGTATTCTGTCTGTCGGCACCAGAAACCGACCAGGGCCTAGGTTTTACACTTGTCTGATTTGGCCTGGACCACACTGAGCAATGGGAACCTGATTCGTGGTGGATGGTACAGAAATGATTGTTAAAATGAAACATGGTGCATTGGGGTAATTGAATTACGATTCGATTGATGACTAGTGAAAGTTGCTAAACTCAAAACACAAATACTAAGTGAATACTAAGTTTTTTTATTTAATTATGGATAACAACATGGTATAGATAAAACAACATAACACTTAAGAATGTATGCATTAACAAGAGATGCCTAATGAATTCATCTGAGGATATATTTCTTACAATTACGAAGCTGTATATTTAATGCGATTAGTGTATTAAGTGCTACAGTACAAAATCTTACGAACTAAATCATAGAAATTAATGTAGTTAATAAATGATTAGAGAGATTGTTATAAAGAATATCAATCGATGCTAATTAATAAGATTTAAAAAAAGCAAAAACATACATGGTAGGGTAGCATGCAAAAAAAATATAGAACAAACAACATGCTTTTACATAAATATAATTACTATACATATTTTAACTAGTGGTGCATGGCATCGTGCCTAAACACAAATTGTTGGAACTTCCCGTACCACAATTAAATATTGGCGAAAAAAATTAATAATCAATAAATATTGATCAATGGTTAATAACAATTATTTTAAATATTTTCAAATAGATAATTATAAATACTATATATTTTATCGTTCATCGCAAAAAACACTTAAGAATGTTTACATTAACAAAAGATGCCGCATGAATTCATCTGAGGATATATGCATTTCTTTTTTTTATGATACATGAATATATTTATCTAATAGTTTTTCTTCATGGCTACTTAATTATTATTATTATTTATTACGATTATAATGCATATAAAACGTATTCATTTTTAAACTCAATTGTAAATTTAAAGTTTATATTTATTGAATAAACTTTGTATATTTTTGAAAATTTTGAATAAAAAAATCTTCTGTAAATTTTGAAATTTGTTTAAGTTTAAAAATTAAAAATCTTGATATGGAACCCTAAAAAATTGTAACAAAATTAGTACTCATTTTTAAATTCTCCGTGAAATATCTGATAATTTGTTGTGCATATGTCTAGTGATTATTTTGAACCGCCAAATATCTTTTTTTGGTACTTCTTCCTGTATATCTCCGAAACCGCCAGAGCTGCCTTAGAAAAAATCATTATCAATTATTCAATTATTCATGTCGTCATTACAAGTAAAATGTTTTTTGAATTATAAAAATCGGACGCTCCGTTCTCTCAAAAACTGAAATACAGTTTCTGGCACTTTTTGCCTAGTATCTCCGAAACGGCTGGGCTGTCTTCGCCAAAAACTAATCAGCACGTCTCCTTATCGATACAAATCTAATTGGAATCATTGAAATCAGTTAAACCGTGTTCCCGAAATCGTCGACAAAAATTTGTATCCGAACATACATACAAGCATAAATGTTCAGAAATCTTTGAAACGTAAAGATATATAAAAATTTTCATTTTCGATTTTTTGCGATTACCATAATTTACCCTATAGGAAGTTATAAAAAAAAATCGATTCTTACTGACGGGGAAAAGAGCCGATTAGTTTTTGGCAAAGGCAGGTCCAGCCGTTTCGAAGATATGGAGCTAAATGTGTAAAAAACTGCAGCTTTTGAAAGTACAAATCATCCGATTAGCTTGTGTTAACGATGTTAAGAAAAGAGTAGTTTTTAGAAAATGCAAAAAAAATAAGATTTTTTGGTTTCAAAATTAAGAAAAAAATCTTTTTTTTTGAATATCGTAAATGATTTTGATTTTAATTTTAATCCTAGCTAAAATTCTAAAGCTCACTTATATGCTCGAAATAAATAATGTTAACCTAACAATTCAGTTTATATATAATTCTTAGAAATATGAGATAAGGTCCTTCATTCTAACTCGGCTTGAATAAATTTTGTTTATATTACTTTTTAAAAAATAACATGAAAAATTACCAGGTCACCCAAACAAATATTTAAAAATTTAAGTAGGAAATCACCTACTCGAAAGACTGTTAGTTATTAATATATAATATTATTATTTTTTTTAAATTAAATATCATAGGGGTTAAACTCTTTGAATTCTTTTACAACCAGAATATTGTATTAAAAAAATATATTATTTTGATCGGCAATAAATATATGCAGGAAAAAATTACTTTCCATGTAAACATATATAAACGTACGCGTTCAATGCATAAGCTCTTATATTTTGCCTATAGAATATTTATATTCATTATAAGTAAAAGTTACAGTATTTATAATAATCTATTAGAAAACATTCAATATTCCTCGAATATTTCGTTACGGTACGGGAAGTTCCAGCAATTTGTCTTAAGGCACGATGCCATATACCACTACTTTGTTATAATGTGTCCAGAAATGTTAGTATATGATTATAACTAAATACTCTAAATTCATGCAACATCCAGTTAGTAGTTAGATATGTATTCGAGTCCTACCATTTCTGGTAACAGTCGTCTCAGTACTTTTCGTAGTGCTACTCGCGCTGTCGTTAGAAGTATCATCCGATCTATGATGTGCAGAAGATCTGTCATCCAAAACTGCAAAATAAATAAATAAAATATTAGTATTAATATACTACAGTGAAACATACTAGCTGTTACCTACCTTTGCAATCGAGAGACAGAAAGGCGTTGGATACCACATTAATAGGCGAACTTCCTAAAGAATGCCGTCCCGATGCTGGAGAATGATTTTCTAAGTTGTCAATTGATAAAGATCGTGGTTGCGAATTTATCAAATCCGTCACATCTAGAAAAAATGATAAAATAACTAGTTGGTATTGGTATTTTGACTTGAGGCAAGTTACATGAACTTCTCGATATGTGTAAATAATCGACTTAATCAATGAAATATAAATTAATTCATGAGTGATTAAAAGTATTCCGAGTGGATTTATTACACATAATTGAAAACAAACGAACGCGTTAACTCGGAGTATTTTCTAAGAGCAAATTTTCAAAAATCAATAATTTTTATAATTGAACCAGTTTCCGTAGGACTTTAATGGTTTAGTATGCTCGTCTAATTTTAATTTTAACAAACGTCAAAAAAACTACTCATTTTCTCAAACTTTGATGAATTTTAAAAATTAAACTACTTGTCGTAAGGCCGTAATATTTCAGAAGTTCTATAAGACCATGATATATATCGCCAAAAAAAGTTTCATAAAAATCGTCTTAATTTTTTTTTTCAACATTTAATTACAAGAAAACGGCTCGGTAGATTTTCACCTAAAACTAATCAGTATCATTCCCAAATAATATATTTCGAACAGTTTTTGATTTTTTAAAATCGGTTCGGTAGTTTGAGATTAAATGTGGTCGAAAAGTTTAACACTTTTTTTCAAATTACAAAGAAAACACAAAACTGACAAACGATAGTCCTCATCGAGATACATCAAATAGCTTTTAAATTTCTGAAATCGGTTCAGGCGTTTTTGAGAAAACGTCGATCAAAAGTCTAATTTTGACTTTTTTTATAGCGCCCCCCCCCTATTAATTTTAACTGTTCTAACAGTTTGTCATTAAAATTATATGAATATTTACATATTTTTTAAAAATTAATTTTTAATTATTCTGGATTTAGTACACAAACAAACAGATATAATCTAAAACCGTATAAAATAGGTTGATTTTAAATTTATTTAGAAAATCGAGGCGATTCGCGGGTTGATTATAATCAAATATTTTTAAATTTTCAATTATTTTAACGTATGTGCAATATTAATATTTGGATTTTGAAACATTTACTTATTTATTATGCGAGTTATTCTATTGAGCAAATCATGCCAAGAGAGCTAAAAAAAACTAGCTTTTCATTTTCAATCATAACACTCGTATTTCATGTTGGATTTTTAAATTTAATTTAATTTTCAATAATTTAATTATTTACAATATCCAAAATATAAACAGATATCAAAAGATCCGAATTGTATTTATCCGTGCCCTCCGGTCATATTCAGAGTATCAGTTTTGAAGTTAAATTTTTAACGTATTTTAGAAGTATTGTCAAAAAATCAGTAAAAAAATGCATAGAAATTACACATTTCTAACTATATTAAAAAAAAACTTATTATATTTGATATGTATTATTTCTGTATAGTTAATAATTATTAAATTTAGAGTATGGACACCACTAGGTACAAACAAGACTTAAGATTTTTGTTCCAAAGTAAATTTTGCTTCCATTTTTCATATTTGTTCCATTTCCATAACCCTAACCACATATCATCAACATTCAAAATTCATCGGAAGCCAGACATTTGCAAATAAAAAAAAAGTTACAATTTAATTTCCCGGAATAAATATGTCATTTTCTAAGCACTGACTCCCCATTTTATATTTCCGATTATAATTTGTTTATATGTTTTAAAAAGTTTCGTTTTAACTAAATCAGCTCGCAATGTTTCATCAATAATGCCCAATATTAATTTAATCTTCCGTAGGTTTGCGCTTACGGGATTGAACACTAGATAATTTCTTTTTCGATTCCACGGTAACTTCAAACTGAGAAAATATTGAATAAGTAGATTAAGCAAAAAACAGAGCTGTTATTTACTAATTTGCAGAGTTATTAATCGATTAATTGTTTCTACTGATATCACATTGCAAAATAAATGTGCTTTTTGTATCCCTACTTAAGTTAGATTGTTTATTATAATGTACTAAGTATTCTAGACTTTATATAATAATTATATAAAAAA